GTTTCGACAAGGTTTTGTCATCATCAGGTACCTGTTACAGTCAATCCCATTATTTGTCGTTAAAGAGTAGCGCAAGAGTTGGCGGCTGGTGGTGTTCACTAGTTGCCTTTCTTCTAATCTATCACTTCAAAATTAGGGACATCTAGCCAGATAGCCTAGATTTGCGCAATATTCAACAAACAAACAAACAAGATTATCATATTACATTTACTTTTTAAAATTACTGCAACTACTAATTTATCACCTGTCTACTTTTAATTTTTTTTAAAGTTGATTGCTATTGTTTGCTGCTTTATATAGATAATAGAAGTTTTAATTTCAGAACGCTTTTATCTCGGAATAGGGGCACAGCTGCTACTCGAAAATCTAATAGCATTGACAGCCTTCTAGAAGTTTCTTCTTCCAAAGGCACTATTGATGTCCCGGACGGTTCACTAAAGATCTCTACAATTTCAACATCGGCTCCTCCCAGTACAGACACAACCTGTGGTGCCTTCAACGTTCAAAAGAATAAAGCCATACCTTCTTCCCCTAGCGTCCCTTCCAAATTGGAGGCCCATAGGAAGGGCAATATTCCATCGTCCCCCAGCGTTCCTAGTCGACTTCCAAAAGGAATTTCAGGTAAGAGTAATAATGATGTAATGACACTGTGTAAAATAACCTGTCATTAAATTCTTACCCCCACACACACACATGGACAGGGTGTGGCCCAATGGTTAGCATGCCCGGACTGTGAACTCCAGGATTCATGGTTCACAACCAATTGCCACAAAACCACACCTTGCAGTGTTCTGCCGTGGCTGTATTATAAGAGTGACAGTCAACAATTTCCACAAAACCACACCTGGCATTGTTGTGCCGTGGCTGTATTATAAGAGTGACAGTAAACAATTTCCATAAAACCGCACCCTGTACTGTTGTTCCGTGCTTGCATTATAAGAGTGACAGTCAAATTTCAATATTCGAATAGCCCAAGAGTTGGCGGTTGGTGCTGTTCACAAGAAACCCTCCACCTAGTCTGTCGGTTCAACATTAGAGACGACTGCGCGCAGAGACCCCTTGTGTGTAGCTTTCAAACACATTTTTCCACACATAATACAGATATACTTCTATCAATCTTTTTTTGCCCGTCTGGCGTGGCTTGGTGGCTAGGGGGCGCTCGATTTGCCACCTGAGGATTGCGGGTTCAAATCCTCATCACCGACTATGCTCGCCCTTTCAGCCATAGAGGCATTATAATATTACGGTGAATCCCACTATTCGTTGGTAAAAAAGTAGCCCAAGAGTTGGCGGTGGGTAGTGTTGAGTAGCTGCCTTCCCTATAGTCCAGTTTGAGGATCCCCAACCTATAACTTTAGCATGGTAATTAAAAACAATAACATCTTTCAACATACTGTATCATTTAATTAATTCAACATAATTTTTATCAGCTTATTGTTTATTTAAAATTAAAAATAATTAAGCATCTTTGTTTTCGGCCCTTTTATTTTTTGCGGCCCCCCAGAAAAAGCTTCACGGCCCCCACCTTGGTAAACACTGCAGTCTAGTCTTACACTACTAAATTAGAGAAGGCTAGCGCAGATAGCCCTCGTGTAGCGTTGCGCGAAATTCAAAACAAGCCAAACCCAACAATATTTCTCCCTCCCCCCTCTCTTTCTTCACTTCCCAACCTCCACCCCTCTTTTTTTCACATTTCCATCAGGTTTAAATAACGAATCTCAGCTTTGAAATGATGGCGTCTACTCCCAATCTTTACACGTTTGGAATCAACTTCCCGGGATTTTCTTCCCTGACAAATATACTCTTTATAGCGCGTGCACGTGATCGGAAGAAGTTATAACTTCGAGTAAAACGTCTTTAAACAACGAGCCAGCCGCCTCTCACTTCGGCAGACAAAGAAGCTCGTCAAGTTTTAGAAGACTCCCACGGGACCTAATCCTGTTTCCGACACCGAGAGACAGTTGGAGCTCATGAATTATCCCTCAGGGTACTCTAAATACACCCCTCTCTCTTCTCTGAATTTTCCATTGTACAGATTTTCAAGGTTTTGGAAGAGGTGGGAAGTCAATCGATAGAAATGGTTTGGATTATTTGCACGCGCTGTGTTTCTTAAGGTTTAACAATATCTGTATGAGACTAGACACTGGAAATAGTTAGGCCTAGCCAGAAAGTCCTTCAGTTAACAACAGAGTCCTCCTGGCATAGACTGTTTGCAAGGGCGCTTGACTCGCAATCCGTGGGCCGTAGGATCCAAACCCGGCGCCGACATACTCGTCCTTTCAGCTGTGGGGGTTATAATGTGACAGTCGATCCCATTATTCGTTGATAACAGAGTCGCCCAAGAGTTGGCGATGGGTGGTGTTGGCTAACTGCTCCCCCCCTCTCTCTCTAGGGATAACTAGCGCCAAAAGGCCTCGAAACACTTTGTACGAAACTGGGCAAACAATATCTGGAAAAACACGTGCCCAGTGGCCCCAGAACATCCGGGTATCTGATCCAAGACATGTATATATATTTGCGTCGTTAGTTGTTTTCCTGTTAATTGGGTCCATCGACTTTTTTTTGGAAGTAAAAAGACAATACTGTAATATGTCACGTATTTGTCTCCCTACAAAAGCTCAACAACGGGATATTCCCACTGCACCAAACTAGTTTCGCCGAATTCACGGCTCGTCACTGTTTCTTTGAAGAACGAGGCAAATAAATGAATTATGCGTCACCACAGTAAACATTCTCAAATATTTACCGATATTCTTTTAATATAATCTCGGCAACAGGAAGCTTTGTATCTCACGTTTTGTTAGTCCATTCGAAGAAATGCTGTAGAACAATTCAGGTCAAAAGTCAGTGGCGTAAAGGTCAAAGTTTCATAAGCATGATTTTTCGGTTTAAATAGATTACTATAAGCTAATAGACTAGTCAATACCACTGAACGCCAACTCTTGAACTACTGCTTCTTATCGAATAGTCACACACGCGGAGCGCATTTTTGTGGCAACAGGACGCGAACCATAGACCTTTGGATTCACAGACTGGAGGTATGCTAACATTTACGTCACACCCGCCTCATAACAAACAGAAAAACCCCGGTGAAACTCCTACCCACACCCCACTATAGTTACATAGCTATAAAGGGGGAAATGGGGAGGAAAACAAATGGATAAACCCTACCCACACCCCACTATAGTTACATAGCTATAAAGGGGGAAATGGGGAGGAAAACAAATGGATAAACCCTACCCACACCCCACTATAGTTACATAGTTATAAAGGGTGAAATGGGGAGGAAAACAAATGGATAAACCCTACCCTCACCACAACTATAGTTACATAGTTATAAATGGTGAAACAGTAAGGAAATCAAATGGATAAACCCTACCCACACCCCACTATAGTTACATAGTTATAAAGGGTGAAA